CTAATCAATATATCTCAAAAAGTGTTTTTGTTTTGCTATATTTGCGAGATTGTTTTTCAATATGAAGATTTTTAATGTGAAAGGAGATTGTATGTGATATAAAATATTTATTCTATTGATTTTTGAAAACAAATTTTCATTATTGATTTATTTAATATTTTTATTTAAACATTTTAAAAATTTTATTAAGATTTTATCATTTTTTTATTATATTATCAATTTTCTTGAATATTTCTCTCCATATTTTATGCTATTGTACAATATATAACATATTTATTTTTGTGTTTTAAATATATGATGATTTTCGTAAGGCAAAATAAATTTATTATCATATCATAAGAGATATACAAAATAAATGTAACATAAAGCACTTGAATAAAACCATTAAACCAAATAAATAAAATACAATAAATTAGATTTTATTAAATATTAAATTATTGTATAAAAATATCTCAAAAAATAAATATGTTACATATGTAAATTTTCGAATTTAATTGTCCACTTTTTTGGCAACAAAATTAATATGATTTCCATAAATATAGGTTGTTTCTGTTTTTTTATTATTTATTTATTTTTAAAAAAGATTTTGCTGTCATTAATTTTGTTTGGCAACTTGTTTAAGTTTCATGACATTTTTTTAAAAAATTGGGGGCTGTTTGGCTTTTTGTTGTGCTTCCCAATTAATAGTATAGATTAGTTAGTGAAATTGAGTTATAAAAGTTAAAGTGTATGTGATTTAACAAGACAATGATTGTAAACTCATGATTCCTATAGTTTTGTAAATCTTAAAGATCCTAATCATGGGTATTAGTTTATGTAAGCAAATATGGTTATTTGTTGTTAAAAATTGTGATTATGAAAATTATATAATTGAATTAATAAACTGTAAAAATTGATCATTCATCAAATCGATCGTCACAGCTTATTCTTTCCTTAAAAAGCCAATTAAGCTACTTCCAAGCCGGCTTGATTCCTATACATTACCAGATTACCCCTACTGTCACCAAGAGGGGACCGGTCTTTCCTGGTGTTAACCGATGGGTAATATCGTCATTTCATATTAGCCAATTCCCATTGCCGATCAAAAACAGCAAGCAACGAACGCGCGGTTCGTCTCGATCCCGTCCTCTCATGGCTGTTACAGGGACGTCGTTGGATTTCGATTTCGATTTCAAGCTTTTCACGTACTCATTTCAACGATCCAATCCCAAGAGTCTCTGATTTCGGGAGATAGTTGTGGAAACTCTGGGGAATTCTAATTTCCTTTTGGCTTGCGATTTTGGATTCAAGGTACGAGGTTTTTGATTTCTCACCTTCAATCATTTGAAGTTTGATCTGGGTTCTAGAATTCTAGTTATGTGGGTTTGCCCTTTGTTTTATCCTGCTTATTGAAGATGCTTGACTTCGTCTCGTGAAGTTCGTTTGTGTATATATATATTTTTTTTGATTCAGTTATCTTCTAGGGTTTTCTTTGTGTTAGAGCTTTGAATTTTGATTGTTTATAGTTTAATTGGGCGTTTGTGGTAATTGAAGTTCGATTGTGGTGAAAACACGAATTTTTAGGAGAAGGGTCAGTTCAATTTTTCTACTTTTTTTTTTGCTTGGAAAAGTTATCTCTCTGAAGTTGAGACATTTAGTTTCATAATTAGTCGGCAATGCAGATACGCTGTGAAGATGACATTTAAGGAATTATCTTTCCTTCTTTCCATATTGACAATGGGTATTTGACTGTCGGATTATGTTCTGTGCTTTGACGATTTTAGATTAAGAATTAAGTGAGACTGTAAGATTAATTCAACAACTTTCACCTGGATCTCAGTAAGAGGAAGAAAGGACAGTTCCATGTAGGATGTTTGATTTGTTTGGATACCATGTCTAGTTTTGTGTAGTTTACTTTCCACTTAACTAAGAACTTCTCCCCTTTTTTGTACTTAAGCTAAATTGGTAGATTCAAGTCGTTCCCTTATTGGTTTAAGCTCTTCTGTTGGGTTGGTTAGTTGCTTCATATTATAAGAAGCAAATATATGTAAAGGTTATATGTTTTGATTCCATTTCTCACTTTGTAGGTAAAACATTTCGACAGCTGAGGATTTAGCATTTATGTGCTGCAACTCTGCAAGCTTGTCATGTACCACTGCGTGTATATTGTTTCTAATTAAAGCAGTGGACTTACGAAAGCTAAGAGAATGTCAGCACCTGGGAAGTTTGATTATTCCTCTGGTGGGCCAGATAGGCCTTTGTACAGGTCCAATTTAGCTGCACAAATGGAAAGATCTAGTAGCTTTCGCGATACGATGGAACATCCTGTCTCATCTTCTCACCCGAGCATGTTGAGGAGCACTTCACCAATAGCACAAACCGATGTAACAAATTTTTTTCAGTGTTTACGTTTTGATCCTAAGGTGGTTGCCGCAGATCACAAGTCTATTCGTCAAGGTGACTTTAAGCGTCATGTGAATATTGCTCTTGGGATTCAAGGAGATGAATCTCCAAGCACAACGCTGAAAGGGAAGGTAATCCCATCTCCTATACCAGAAGAGATCAAGAGACTAAAGGCTGGTCTGCGCGAAAACAACGTGAAGGCCAGGTAGTTTATTACGATAAGTTGATAAATCTTCTTTGGGGTTCTGTTTACCTAATTGAAATTTTATCGTTGCAGGGAGCGTGTGAAAATTTTCAATGAAGCCTCTTCTGTATTTAACAAGTTTTTTCCGAGTGTACCTACAAAGAAAAGGTCTCGACCAGAAGGTTTTTCTAATGACCGCTCTGGTGATCGCTTGGCATTAGGGCCAGGTATGGGTAAAATGGGAAGTCAAGGTCAGACTCTGCCTGGTTGTT